CCAAAGAATACATTTCTAATGGTGGAATTTCAGGACTTTGTGAAGGAAAGGGCCTGCATTGAGGGGAGGGTGGGCCTCTTTCTGTCTACAGGCAGGTAGAGAAGAGGAGCTCAGACACAACCTTTTATGGCTTATCAGGGACAGTGGTTCCCGGAATGTAATAAGGGTGGAAGGCAGCCTAGTGTCAGTGTTATGGCCACAACCAGGCCTCACACCCGGGGGGCCTATACTCCCTGAACCACAGCTCCTTCACTCCTAAAATGCAGGGCCCCGGAAGGGGTAAGTACAAGCGCATGTTTGGGAAGCCATGCACTGTCAGCAGCACTGTCCACCTGGCCTGCTCTGCTGTGCCCTTGCCTTCTTGCCGGGAAGAACCAATCGAGCAGAGGGAGCCTTGGCCTTGAACCCATGGGCCGCATGCACTCGGCCTTGCTGGGCCCTGAGGCCCAGGAGGGCACCACTGGTGATGGATCATGGCAGGCACGTCATCTTGTTACTCTGGGTGTGAGGAATTTCATTTGCCTCACCTGTCACAGATGACAAACACCGTCTCCAGCAACTTACCACTCGATTAGCCCTAATTGAGGCAACGGGGGTGGAGGAGCAGGAGGGAGAATGCAGGGGGAAATCTGTGCTTGTGTGTGTGTGTGCGCCTGTGCATATATGTGCCTGAGTGTGTGCATGTGTGTGTGCCCCTGGCTGGTTCTATGAGGCAGGGGTGCAGAGGGGACATGAGCTAGGAAAGGCCGCACTTGGGGGTGGGGAACAGGATGCTAACTGCTCCCTCTGGCAGGGGCTTTGGTCAGTGTCACAGGCTGGCTCAGGCCCAGGCCTGCTCCACCACACCCGCTAGCCAATCTCTCTTTGTTCCTTTCTTCCCCCAGCTGCGCCCTCTCCCCTCCAGGGGCTTTCCCCACAAGCCCACCTTCTGGAGTTGAGAGCTGGGGAGAAGAAGCTGGTGGGGGAGGTGAGACAGATGACCAGAATAGAGTCAGCTGTTCTCCAAGGGCTGGAGATTTGCTGGGGCTGCTGGGGCCTGGGGCATCATGGTAGTTCAGCACAGCTTGAAGTGGTGACATATTAGCAAATAATAATAACCACGGTAACAATAAATTATGATAGTAGTATTAATCATGAACAATACTTTAGCTTATAATACTTTTATTGAACATGATCCATTTAATTGTCAAAACAACTCTCTGAAGCATTGGGAGGTTAAGTAACTTATCCAACCTCACACAGGGCAGTAGCAGTGGAGGCTGGAGGTGAGTGCGGCCAGCTCTGATTCTACAGCTTCAGTACTTGACTCCTGGCCATGCTGCCTCCCATCAAGCCACCCGGGGCTGGGACTCAGGGTGGGACACAGGACAGAGCAGCAGCGTGGGGTTTTCCCACAAAGCTCATGACTGACCAGAGGAATGTCTTAACGTTTATTGAGCTCATGTTGATAATCAATGTGATGTTTTAGGGAATATGCTTTGATCTGTGGTTAGATTCAGGTTTTTCTTTTTCTTTTTTTGTTTTTTCTTTTTAGCTGAGCCATCCTGCCGCCTGTTGGCAGCTCAGCGGCAGCTCAGCTCTGGCGGGGCATCAAACTGCTGTTGCTGAGAGCTCACACCCTTGAGCGAGCTCATAACCAACTGAGCCACGTGGCTGGCCCTAGATTCAGGTTTTTCAAGGTAGGTGTTAGAGCTGTAACATAGAGAGACTTGAAGCCAGCTGAGGGCATTGGACTTTATTCTGCGGTCAGGGGGGAGCCCCCCGAAGGGTCTGAGCAAAGAAGAGCATGGTGGGGGAAGCACTGGGGATAAATCTGACTATTGTGTGTCAGTGGGTTTAATGGACCAGAGTGGGGCAAAGAAACCAGCGGAGTTATCATCCATCAAGGTGACGACTGGGTCTGTCACTCACTAGCTGTGTGACCTTGAGGAAGGCCTTTCTCCTCTCTGGCCTCTCTTTGGCATACATGTCAAAGCGAGGTGGGGGGAATTAGAAGATGTCTTGGGCATTCTGTGGCTCTTCTGACGACTTCAGCAGGGCTGGTGGATACAGGAAGAGGATGGAGGGGAGGGCTTTAGGGAGTGGAGTCTACAGGATCAAGGGTCTGATTGGAGAGAGAGGGTGAAAGAAAGGCAGAGAGCCAATGACAGCGCCAAACTGCAAGGCGGGATTGGTGGAATAGAGCGACCCTCGGGAAGTGGTCTGGATTACACAGTAGGCTGAATAAACCCCAGCAAAGCAGGCCCCTCCCACCCAAACAAACAGACATTACAAAAAAACATATATGTACAGATGGATAAATTAATTGAAGCTGAACATCCATCTCTCAATCAACTTCCATGGAAAGATGCTATTTTAACTTAAGCATCCATATAAGGCTTGTGCCATTTCACAAAATTTTGTTTTAAAATGTTCACGTGTGGAAGAGCGATGTTGAATGCTTCCGGCTGGTCAATGGTCTTTGTGGGAAGTGATGGGCAGAGCTGTCTGGGGGAGGTTACAGGCTGCTCAGGGCTGTAGGAGACATTCAGGGACAGTAATGAGAGAAGCTGAGGTAAAGAGGACAGCGGTGAGTCATCCGTTAGGAAGCTGTCTGCTGAGGCCCAGGGAAGGGGAGATTTCCAAGAGAGAGAACTTGGGGATGGCGCTGGGGGGGGGGAGTTAGGAAAAAACAGTGACTGCCATCGTCTCCCAAAATGTTGAAATAAGGGGACATGTTGGTTCTCCAGTCTTCCTTTCTCTGTTCCAATCTCTGCCACCCCCCACCCCCCACCCCGCAACACACACACCCTTCCCTAGGCACAGCAGCTGCTATCAACCTGAGAATTTCCTTCACAGCACTCATCAGAATGGAAAATCATCCGCTTTGTTTGTTACTTTTCACAGTGTATGGTCTGCAAGGAGAAAGGACCTTAGGTGTTTGTGTTCATCTCTGTATCTCTGTGATCCAGAACAGGGCTTGGCATTAAGTGGGAGCTCAGTAAATATTTGCTGAATGAATACATGCATGCTCCCATGAGGGAAGGAGATGGTGATGTTTAATGCTTCCCTTTGTGATGCCTGGGTTGGGGAGACATTTGGGGGCAACCTGACTTTCCTCACATAACTCAGGAAGCACCTGCTGCAGATGTTGATTGGTGGCCCTCACTCGCTGCCTCTCTCCTCGCAGCCGCATAGTCTGTATTACGGCCCATGAGGATACCCTGAGATGGCTCCGTGCTGATCGTGCTAGCCCCTGCCTCTACCTCTCTCTCCCCACACTCCTGCCGTTTCCTTTTTGTTCTCATGTTTTCCCCTAAAATAATAAGCGATTTGGGGCTCAAGGAAGGCTTGTGTCCCCGACAGCGCCCCAGAAGAAGTAGGGTGGGGAAAGCCTTTGTGCCCCAGTTTGCTGCCCCTCCTGCAGCTGAACGGTCATTCCCACGGCCCGTCTGTTTCCAGGGGGCATCACTTCCCTGTTATGCCTAGACTTTTGGATGGAGAGGGGCTTGTTGGAGTGGCATGTAAGGGGGTTGCCGCAGGGTCTTTTGGTTATCTACTTCTAAGCCACATAATAAACCACCCTGAATGTAGGGCTTCAAAACACTGCCATTGAATGTGTGCATGGTTCTGAAGTCAGGATTCTAGAAGAGGAGACAGGGGGAGCAAATCTGTCCCATGGGGGTCGGCTGAATCCTGGTCACTTGCTCAGCTGTACTCGGCAGGAGCCTAGCTGGGACAACAAGACCCCTCTTGCTCCATGGGGTCTCTCCAGCAGACTAGGGGGCGCTTCGTACAAGGCAGCTCGAGTATGAAAGTGGAAGCTGCCTAGCCTTCTAAGCTTAGGCTGGAACTGGCGGAGGAGTAGGCGTGGCACTTCTGCTGACTTTGGTTAGAGTGGGCCCCAGGGCTTGTCCAAACTCAAGGGGCCGGGGAGGCACACAGGGATCTGATTGGTGGGAGGCATAGTTCAGGGGGCGTCACTGGCGCAACAGCCTAGCAGCCTCGGGCCAGGTAGGAGGAAGGGTTACCTGAAGCCCGGCATGACTCCTTTGCCCCAGTGCTGAGGCCTTGGACTCTGACAGATATGGGATCTAGTCCCGGCTTCGTCACTTCTCAGCGGCCTGAGCATCCTTGGGCTTTGGAGGCTCACAGCAGCCTGGCCTTCCTACCTCTCCAGCCTCCTGTGGCTGCTCCTGGCACACCTGTGGACAGGCGGGGACCCTCACTGAACGCCTGCCCTGGGATATTTCTTGTCTCTCCCTTCGTCCCCTCTCCTCTCATGTCCCCCACCGTTGTCCCCAAGGCCCCTCCTGCCTGCCACCTTCTTTGGACACCCTGATCGTTCCCATCCCAGAGATACTGTTATCTACCCCTCATACGTTCCATAGGCTGCCTCGTGCTCTTAAGTCCCTTTTTTCATGTCCCTTCTGTCACCTGAGTAAAAGCCCTTTGAGCCTAGGATCTGAGCCCGGGGCCGGAGGGAACACTTGTCAAGGTGAATAAGGCAGGTTGGCACCAAGCCGGCTGGACAGATGGCCACTGTGGTGACTGCACCTTCCCAGCTGGGAGGCCCTGGGTAGTGGCAACAATAGCCGCTCTGGTCTCCTGCCAAAGAGGCCATGTGCCATAGGCCAGGGGGCTGGCTGGTGAGGTGAGCAGCTGGAGGAGGGAGGCAGGGGAGGCCTCAGGTTGGGGCTGGGGGAGGGGGTTCTCTTTTTGAAAGGCCCCTCTGCCTTTGCAGAGGGACCATGTCCCTTGGTCTCCTTTCTTCCTTCTGAGGGTCAGCCTGGGGCCCATTCACCGATACCACAGGGTGGGAGAGTGGCAGGGACCAGCTGGAGGTCTATCTGATGCCAAGGCCCATGCTTTCCTACCAGCCATACTACCTCATCAAGGCTGTCCCAACCCCCTTCACCAGTGTGGAGGACGTCACCTTTCTTGTTTCAAATAGAGAACCCCCAAGGAGCTGCCCCGCCACAGCCAGGGGAAGGACGGTAGCCTGGGCGTAACTACGGAGGGCATGGGAAACGGCATTCTTTATTCATAAATAAAAACATAAAATTACCAGTAATAGTTTACATGGCCAAAACGTGGCATCAAAAATAAAATAAACCAAAGCTGTCAAAAGCAAAGCAAACCAAACAACAAGAAACAACCAAGAGAAAAACAACTGTGTACATATTCTTCCCAATGCTAGTCCGTCCAAAGGCAGCTTCAGCGAGGGGGTGGTTCCGGCTCTGCCCGCAGATGCAGTGAACAGACCACATTGGATGGATGTGAGGTGAGTGCCCACCCTCAAAGGGTGCATGGCTCCTGCTCAGAACTTGGGACCCACGGGCAACACCGTCTCCCGAAGCTGCTGCTCCAATAGCCCAGCCTGGCTTACCCCTGGGCAGCCCTCTCACCCAACAGCAGCCCCGGCTGGTCTGGGACTAGAGCAGGGCGGGGGCAGAGGCTTAGCGGGTGCTTCTCAGAGAAAGATGACCCCCAGTCCCCCGAGAGCTCCGTGCACATGGGAGCTGAGTGCGCCCAGCAGGAGTCACCTGAACTCCACAGAGGCCAGAGGAAGCCACCCACAGTGGATGCCCCGTGAGAGTCTGGTCATCCCAAGTCCCAGAGGCAGAACCCCCTCCTTGGTGAGGTGCTGCTGGACGCTGCTCTCTCTTTACAGACAGCCGAAGCATTTTCAGGTCAGGCATCCTTCAGGGAGCGCAGGAGATGGGTCTGACTGAGCGAGCAAACATGCCAGCAGGAGTGTTCAGAGGGGAGGACCGTGAACTCACGCTGGCCGGGGGCCAGGCTGCCTGCTCTGAGGCCTGCATTGGCGGACCTCCACAGGCCCTGCTCAGCCTCTGCTATTCGGAGTCTCCTTCCAGAGGGGCTGGGCCTGGCATGGTCCAGGAGGCGTAAGGACGTTTTTCCACAGGGAAAGGAAGAAAAACCACATGGTGGCAAGGTCCCTATGTTACAGGACACAGATGTACTCTGGTGCCACTGTGGGCCACCCTGGGGCCTTGGGCTGGTGGCAGCCCAGGGAGGACATCCATGGGTTGGCCGGCAGTAGGGACGTGAGGTGCAGGGCATAGTCACGCCATGGTTAGCACCCACCTCCCTGGCCTTAGCACCCACCTCTTCTGAGGTGAGGGGCTGCTCTTTGGGAGGGTTGTCGGGGGGGGGGTGTCTCCAGCCTGGGGAGGGGGCAACAGCCTCTTTCTCTGTACCATGGGGAGTCTCACTGGAAGGACTCAAACAAGGCACAGACTGGTGGAGATGGCGGGCCTGAGGGCCATGGCACACAGAAAGAGACATCTTTGATTTAAGAGTCTGCACTGTGCCCAGTTGAGGGCACTGCCCTCCAGGGACGGAGAGGGCTCTTGGCCTATGGATTCCAGGTTTAAATCTAGCCTATGACTAAGAGCCATGGCTTCAAATTCCAGAAATGCTCCGCTGTCATGTGAAGGCAGCAGGACAGGCATGGCTTAACCATGGGGACCGGAAGGCAGAGAGGATCACAGGGAGGTGGCCCTGCCCTCAGCTGAGACTCAGGGAAGGAACATGGTGGGCCCTGGAGGGAGGGGGGCAGGAAGAGGAGGAGCCCCACTCCCACCCTGGCTGGGTCTGCAGCTGAAGGTCAGAGATCAGAGGCTGGGGAGGCCGACAGGGATTGGTGTGGAACTCCGGAAGTACCCAGACTTCTCATCCCCTTTGTCCCCCCAGCAGGCAGGCACAAGGCGCAGGAGCCCAGCAAGAGCTGGCTGTCCTAAGAACAGCAGCTGTAGCTAGAGTCAAAAATAGAACATGGAACAGCCTGGCTGCCTGCTAGATCTAGCTTGCTTCTGAAAAGACAGAAAGAAAAAAAAAAAGAAGAAGGAAAAAAGAAAATTCCCTGAAACAAGCAACTGAGCAAGTCTACCTTTTCTGTCCTCCCCCAGCTCTCCACATCTTCAGAAGAGAACTCCCAGCCTCCCCAGGCACTGGTCCAGCCCCCAGCAGCTGCAGCTTCTGGCTTCTGGACAGTCAGGGCTCTTATGAGGCCTGGGGTGGAGGGAGGCCAGCCGGTGGCCCTGGGGCTTTCAGAAGGCTGTGTCTGCACCTCTCATTCTGCCTGCCTGGGCCACTGGCACTCTGGGGAGCCCGCCTGCCCCGGAAAGACTCTTGTCTGAACTTAGCGTTGGAGAGGCGACAGGGAAAAGTTGCCACTGCCCAGATCACCCTGCACCATCTTAGTGGATATAGGTGATTTGGGATCCAGCAAAGACTTGATTCTTAGGAAGAAAACAAGTTTATAGTAGCCTCTGGTCAACTTGAGCCAGGTAGAGAAGCCCTGCCTCCAACCCCCACTACAAGCTATTTGGAGGCTCTCCCTGGGACAACTGGAAAGCCACACCCTCCTGTGTCACGGTACTTTCAATCTTCCCTTCCCAGCACCCACCCAGGCCCTCAGTATCTATGGCTTTAAGAAGCGTGGTCACTGACGTCAAAGGCCACCAGCCGCCCAAAGCTGCTTCCCTCCAGTTAGGAGGCCCAGCAGGGTCTGGCCATGACTACCGGGCTTCTCTCGCTGTCCCGTCTGGCCTTGAAGGGTAGATTCTCCTGGGCTGCCCCAGCTTTCCTTTCCTTTCTGTGGCTTGCCAGGGTCGAGACAGTGCTGATGTTGCTAATTTAGGTTCTCCATACCCCACTCCAACCCCTACACGTCTGTAGGCAGAGGACGAGCTCGGGTATGACCAGCGTCTGGTCACAAATGGCTTCTTTCTATTCCCAAGGCATCCCAGGGTATCTGGGGGAGAGGGGTTATGGGGACAGAGGCAGGAAAAGAGGTGGCCACCTGGTCTTCACGGCAGCCACCACCATCCCTGGGGGAGAGGATCTCTTAAGTATTTGTACAAAGGCCAAGGTTTAGGGAGCCCTTAACCAACTGATGGAGACCCCTGGGCCCATCCCTTGGGAAAGCTAGGGGTCTGGCGTGTTGGAGAATGGTGAGCGCGGGACCATGGGAACGGGGAGGAGAGGCAGTCCCCCCTCTCCCTTCCACTTCCCTGCCCCTGAAAATCCCAGGTCTGTGCCTGGGAAGCTTCTCTCAGAGAGGCCTGAGTTACAGACCAGCGGGGGAAGTGGAGGGGGCGCCCTGCTGGGCAGGCTGAGCTCCCCTGCCTCCTAATGCCAGGTCCCAGCTCTCCCTCTCCCAGGAGGCCCCTCAGATCTCCGTGGCTATGATGTCCTCGTAAGGGATGTCAGCCCCTTCAAGATCAATCTCCAGAGGCTCCCCGGCACCATTCCCGTGGGCCAGCTGCTGCAGGGCCTTCTCCAGGCGTTGGTTCCGCTGGTACATGGCTAGGTAGCTCTGCTGCAGCTGCTTCTGGTACTGGATCACCTTCTCTTTCTCTTCCTTCCACACCAGCCGCTCGTGCTGGAAGCCTGAGGACATCTGGTCGTGGCCGTGCCGCTCCTCCTTCAGCTCAGCCCTCAGCCGCTCCAACTCCCGCTGCAGGGAGGGGATGTCCTCGGAGAAGGCGGGCCCGGGCCCCGCCCCCAGCCCCGCCCCTCGGGACGCGCTGTCCCACTGCAGGGCCGCCTGGGCCCGCAGCTCCAGCAGCTCCTGCTCCAGCAGGTTCACCTTCTCCCGCAGGAGCTCAGACTCGTTCTTCTTGCGCTGTAGCTCGTTCTCACAGACCTCCAGCTCCAGGCCCTTGGTGCGCAGAGCACTCTCCAAATCCTGTGTCTTCAGCTCCATGCCCTCCAGCTTGCCCCGTGTGTCCTTCAGTTGTGCCTTCAGACTGAGGATCTCGCTGGCCTTGGCATTGACCTCCATCTGGGACTCCTTCAGCTGCTGCTTCAGGAGAGAGATCTCGCCTGACTTCTGGCACACCTGCCAAGAGTCAGGGTGGGGGAGAAGAGAGAGTGACAAGAGGTGAGAGGTGCTCGCCCGGGGCAAGGAACATCTTCACTGCCTCCCAGAATGAAGCTGTCCCAACATGAAGCCTCCAGAGAAGTCCCCAGCATGGTGGTCTGGGTGACCCATGAAGGCCAAGCCCTTGTGGAGGCTCCTTTCATTCTGTAGTCTGGCTCGGTCTGTCCGCATGCCTGTCTCACCCCTAATTCAGAGTCAAAATCTCAATCTATACTCAAGCCTATGGCCATGTATAAATAGACAATCGGTGGTGCCAGCAGCTCCATCACCCATCTTTAACATCAATGGTATCAGTTTCTGTGTCTGCCACGTTTCTATCACCCGTGTTTACGCCCTCGGACCTCACCCCTGCACACACTCAGTTCCCCTTTCCTCTACTGGGGTGAAGACTATATCCAGGCATTCACCCCATGCCTGGCTCAGAGACAGGGCCCCACTCGCATCTGCGGAGCGATAGGCAACTGTGTTCTGCCCGCCCCACGCCTCAACCACTTCTATTCCTATTCCCCATCCAAAGTTGGTCAATAGCCACAAACAAGACCGAAGGCACTGAAGCACACCCATGCAGCACATCTCTGGGTCATGGCCATTCAGGGTCAGGGGTGGCTCAGCAGACGACCAAGTCCAGTTTAGCTGCGTGTCTGAGTGTTTCCTGCTGCTCTGGGAAAGCTGGCAGAATGAGGCCAGGGCCTGGGTCTCTACAGGACGAAGTCTGGGAACAAGTCTGGAAGCCACCTTGATATTCCCTCACTTTTCCTCTATAGGAGAACCCTCCCTTGCTGTCCTGAACCACCTAGGAAGCAGTGCACAACCCCTCTCCTACTATGAGGCTTGATGGGGACCATTAAGAATGCCTTTCCAGGGCTAAGTCCATATTTGTTTCATGGAGGGAACAGCACAGAGTGTGGCTGAGGCATGGGCCTGGCTTAGGATCCTGACTTGACACCTGAGGACCCGGGTGACCATTAGCATAGTGGCAATATGGTGTAGTGATTAAAAATGTGAACTCTGGGGCCAAACTGTCAAGGTCAATCCCTGGCTCTGATACTTATTATGTGGTGACCTTGGGCTATTTGCTCTCATAGCCTCTCTGTGCCTCAGTTTCCTTAACTGTAAATGGAGGATTAGTAACAGTACCTACTTCCTAGGGTTGTTGTAAGGATTAGATGAGAGAACTGAGGGCCCGGCTCTTAATAAACACTCTATATATTATTATTATAAATATGTTTGAATAGATCTATTATAAATGTTTAATTTATTTATTGTTTTACTAGCTAGTTTGACCGGACAACCTGGGAATGAGGTCACAGCAATATCCAGCTCAGTTCCAGATTGGACAAACAAGAATGGATGCCTAATGCCACCACTAGCTTATATCTCTGAGATGCCCCAAAGTGTCCCTGAGCCCTGGATGAGAAACAGTGCCTGGGGTAGGGTCTATTATGCCAACATGGATGGGAAGGAGGAAAGGCACTGCCCTCACGACTAATGTCCTGTCTGCTCTGGGAAACCTGGCAGACAGGAAGGGACTTTCCCTTCTCACCTGTCTAGTCCCCCATCCATCTCTTCCACAGCAAGGATCATTTTCCTCCATTCCTGGTAACGTGTTCACTCTAATTTCCGAAAGCACAGGGAGCCCAGTGCAAACAGATGGGTGTGCTGCTGGGGGTGGGGGTGGTGCTGGTCTAGCAGACACAGTGACCCCTCAGCTGTTCTCAGGGAGTCCACCTGGGGTGAACGACAGAACTTGCATGCGAATGCCCCCCAAAGTGAGGGAACCTGATCCTGAACCACCTCCTGGGCCTCCCAGTGAGGAAAGCTGCTGTCAGGCAGCAGGATGTGGGGGTTGAGCTGGTTCTCCAGCAAGGCCGGGAGCGGAGGCCTTACTTCCAGGTGTGTCTGACTGCATGCACGTGTGTGCACCCTTTTCTTTCTCTCCTGTTTCCTTCTCAGGCACCAAATAGAAGCCCCACTGAAGCTTCTATGGGTAGTGGCCCCTTCTGTCACTGAGACTTGCCACAAATGGGGGTCACTCTCACCAGTGGGTGGGAGCCCTCCCCTCAAAAGTAACAAACCCTAGGCCAGCCGAGTGGCT